TCAACAATATCACAACTTGTGTGTGGTTCAGTCATTGTGATTAAGAATTATTTACTTACTGTCCTTATTTACTTATATACTAATTTACTGTTTTGGTTTAATTTCTTAGCTCCCATAGCATCGTCTTTGGCACCAGCAGGTAGCTCTTAGTAAAAAAGCTCTGAGAAGCCCACTGTACACTACCTGCTTACCACCACATGAATGCCAAAATGAGTCTTAGGCTATGTTCCTACTGCAAGAATGCTGATTTATTGCTCAGATAGGATTTTTTAGTTTGTTTGAGTGTTCACATTATATTAAAAGTCCAATATGACTGTTCACACTGAGGTCACATTGCAAAGAATCAGACCGATCTGATTTGGACCACATTAAAAGTGATTCAAATCAGAACTGGAAAAGCTCAGATTCCATGTCTTTTGTGCTGTTCACACTGTCATGAAAAATTTGATCTGAGTCACATATGAACCAAAAAGTCAGATTTTGGATTTATGCTATAATTAATAATTACTAAATAACTACTAAAAAAACAAATGAGTGGATCATGTGATTTTATAGAATTCATGAAGCATTTTATGGGTCTAAACACGACTTTTGTTTATGTCCTACTACTGTGGTCTCAATGTTGACATATGTAAAGTGAGATCATCTTGATTATTGCAGCGCTTAGTAATTGTGTGTTTTGATCTTGCTTCCAAATTAAAAGCTCAATGACAATATGCAATTTTGTTTACCTAATGGTTAAATTTAACATTCATACAAGTTGATTTTTTCATTTGTGAGAGTCAATGTGGGATGATCATACATGTATTTTCTTTCCACTGTTAACATGTCACCTCTGCCCTCAGTGACAGGAAGGTTAATGTCTGTCCATCTCTTAAATGCTTAATCAACAACACCTCACAGCCTCTGATCACAGCATTAGTGCATCAGACAAAGACAAAACAGACACGGGCACACACGACTCCTGCTACTATTGATTTTTAGTTAATGTACAACTGCTGGTTCAGCGCAGAGTCAACAATGAAGTGCATTCATCAGGGTGTCCAAACCAACATCAGGAATGTGGATGTACGCTGGAAGATCTTAGGGCCTCTGCACAAGGCTTTAAAACAAAAATAGCAAGTCACTATTATATTCAGTCTTCAGTAAGACGCTCAAAGCTTTTCACAGTGCAGTTTTCCTTGTTCTCTAGAAATGAGTGTTGAACAGCGTCTTGACACTGGAAAGAAATAGGAGGTAGAATCAGTCTTCTAATTAGGGATCTGTTTGGGGATGAGACGATAAACAATACTGTTGCTATCAAAAACACAAACATTTTCATTATTGGGATGATCAGGAATCGGGATAATTGTGAATATCCTCGCATGAGTGTCTTGACAAAGCTTTCTATCTCGCTAACATACAGTATGTTAATTTTCTTATTTTGTTTTGAATTTCCACAAGAGGGAACCCACATCATTCCAGTCATTATAGAATCCTAAGTCTGTCACCATGGCTGTTTTTATTGTCTTTAATCAATAGTGACAGCTGTGGAGAGACAGGAAAGAGATGACACACAGCCCACAGGTCGGTTTTGACCCTGGGCCGCTGCAGCAAGGACCCAGCCCTGGTACATGGGGTGCCAGCTCTACCAGGTGAGTTTTTGTTGCCTAAACCTGACCACACACTGGATGTGAAATCTTGTCTCTGGAGTCACAGTCTAGACCAAGGCTGAATTATGGCCAGTGTGGCCGTTGCCAAGGGGCCTATATTCCATTTCCGGCGCCTCTGAGTGATTACAGCATGAGTTGACCACTAGGGCCCCTAGGTCTCCAAAGGTGTCCACAATCCGGCTCATCCTGACCACCTCCCTGCAACTCCGGTGTGATATTTGTAGCTTCATCCACTCCAAAAACTGTCCCCTATGAACAAATACTAATATTTTATCCTACAAAAAGCCTCTGAGTACAGGATAGAGAGAAACAGAAAAACACAAAAAGAAACAAAAAAAATAACATACAAAACATATAAATAAGAACTGCAAACCCTGCCAAAAACCTCAATACAGATTAGTTAATAAATGGTTTCATAATTTGATCTTCTTCCTCCATAAAATTTCACAAAAATACTAAAAGCATGATTCAGTTATTGCCAGGCTCATCACTGGACATTAACACAGATCACTGGTTTCTTTCCTGTGCAATACAGCCATTGTAGCAACATGAAGGCTTAGCACAATGTGGAGGGAACTGACTGAAATGCACTTGAGGTCCACTGGTCAAGTGGGACCTTTAAGTGATAGTCACTTGTTGTCAGAGTAATTACACACATTAGAAGTCTTTGTAGAGAGCAGTAAAGAGCAGTAAAAGAGGATTCTCTTCACCACCACTGCAATACACGTCACTTTAATAGTTAAGCTTCATCATTAGAACATAATGAACTTTACTACAAGCACACAGGAGTAAAGGCCAGTGACCAACCACCCACTCCCCCACAGGTCAGGACAAACAGATCATTAGTCAAACCAAAGAATCAGAATCAGAATCAGAATCAGTTTGTATTGCAAGTAGGTTTCACATACAAGGAATTTGCCTTGGGTTATTGGGTGCATAACAATAAACAGTATGCGAAAAGTATAAATTAAAATAAAATAAAGACAATAAAAAGAGACAATATATACAACCACCAAATATAAGATAAGATGTTCCTTTATTGATCTCGTGTAGGAGAAATTAAAGTTCAGTGCAAATAGTAAAGAAAGTATAATAACAAAATGAAATCTAACCAAATACAAAAAATATGATAATAATGAACATTAAATATAAATAGAATATTATAAGCCTGTGTTTATATATACTTGTGCAATTTGTTTGAAGGTATTGTGTGTAAAATTGGTGTTGTGCTTTACACCGATCAGCCATAATATTCCTACCACCGACTGGTGAAATGAGTAACACTGATTATCTGGTTATCATTCAATTCAATTCAATTCAATTCAATTTTATTTGTATAGCGCCAATTCATAACAGAAGTTATCTCAGGACACTTTTCAAATAGAGCAGGTCTAGACCGAACGCTTTATAACATTATTTACAGAGACCCAACAGTACCACCATGAGCAAGCACTTGGTGACGGCGGCAAGGAAAAACAATAATAACAATAATATCAGTAATATTAGCAGCAACTATAAGCTTTATCAAAGAGGAATGTCTTAAGCCTACTCTTGAATGTGGTGAGGGTGTCTGCCTCCCGAACCACAACTGGAAGCTGGTTCCACAGGAGAGGAGCTTGGTAACTGAAGGCTCTGGCTCCTGTTCTACTTTTAGAGACTATAGGAACCACAAGTAGCCCAGCATTCAGAGAACACAGTGTTCTAGAGGGGCCATTTCCTTTCAGATTTTCTAGCTTTTTGCTTTAATTGGCGGGTTTGGTGGTTGTACCACGGTGCTAGTTTCCTATGTTTTAATAATTTCCTTTTTATAGGAGTGATAGAATCTAATGTTGATCGTAGTGAGCCTGCAGCACTATTAACAAGATTATCAATTTCAGAGGGACTAAAGTCGTTATAGGATTCTGTTAAATTCAGACATGGCATTGAATTAAACACTGAAGGAATCTCCTCCTTAAATTTAGCTACAGCACTGTCAGATAGACATCTGCTGTAGGAAGTTTTGCCTAATGGCTTATAATCTAATAGTATGAATTCAAAGTTATTAAATAATGGTCAGATAGGAAAGGATTATGTGGGAAGACTATTAAATGTTCAATATCAATGCCATATGATAAAACAAGTGTGATTAAAACAATGAGTTGGTTTATTTACACTCTGACAGAAGCCAATTGAGTCTATCAATGATATAAATGCATTACTAAGGCTGTCATTGTCAACATCCACATGAATATTAAAATCACCTACAATAATTACTTTATCTGTTTTGAAGGACTAAACTTGATAAAAACTCAGATAGAAAATCAGAGTACGGGCTAGGAGCATCAGTGTATGAGTGTGTATGAATGATTAGCCAATACTGTTGTTGCTGTGCACCTGTCTATCTGTCTCTCTCTCTCTCTCTCTCTCTCTCTCTCTCTCTCACCCCAACTGGTCGAGACAGACGACCACCCACCTAGAGCCGAAGGATCTGTCCTAGGTTTCTGCCTCTTAACAGGCAGTTTTTCCTTGCCCTTGTCCCCAAGGTCTTGCTCATGGTGGTACTGTTGGGTCTCTGTAAATAATGTTATAAAGAGTTCGGTCTAGACCTGCTCTATTTGAAAAGTGTCCTGAGATAACTTCTGTTATGAATTGGCGCTATACAAATAAAATTGAATTGAATTGAATTGAATTGAATTAGTTTCTGTTCTGGTGAGCAGTTGGCACCTTGCATGGCAGCCACTGCCATCAGTGAGTGTGGCATGTAGTGTACAGCGCATTGAGTGGTCGAAAGACTAGAAAGGCACTATATAAGTACAGTCCATTTACCATTTAAGATTTTATCCTCAACGTTGATTTAATGGGCAATGTAAGGATTTAAGCGACTTTGACAAGGGCCACATTGTGATGGCTAGACGACTGGGTCAAAACCTGCAGCTCTTGTGGGGTGTTCCCGGTCTGCAGAGATCAGTAACTATCAAAAGTGCTCCAAGGAAGGTAAAGCAGTGAACCGGAGAGAGAAAAATGAATTTCTTTGAGTCCAGTCACAGCCTATCCATAGGAACACACTTCAAGATGTGCTACACAAGTAGTTAACAAGAAAAACATCCATGCTGACTGTCACTGAATGTGTGGACACAGTGTTTGCGCCTTATGAAAACAGCTTGATTGTCAGCTTGTGTCCATCCAAGTTCATAATGATCTTCTGGAAAAACTCAAAGGTGTACTTGAGGTTTTCGGGAAAGGCTAGATCAAGGGCATAAATGAGCCCAAACAGCATGATGAACCCCATGATGACGCTGCCAACATTGTTGAGGACTTTAATGCCCTCAATCACAACTCCCATGTCCTCTAGCTCTTCATGTCCATCTCTTCGGATTGTGTAAATCCCCATGACTGTTGTGGCGATGTCCCTCTCTGCATCCTCAGCTGCAGAGGACTGAACAACAACACAGAAAACAAATATAAGTAAAACGCTAAACAACAAACAGAAAATCATATACAACATAAAAAAATAAGTTTAAAGCAACTTATAAATGCTTCTTAAAAACAGGTCTAATTCGGGCTGTAGCCTTCAACTTTATACGATACAGGCCAGTTTAAAGCAACAGTTCATCAGTGTTGCTTCCTGAAGTCACCATATATTTATAAAACACATGGAATGATAGCTAAGTATTATAGATAACCCCTACCTACCCTCCCCTCTCATCACTTTAAAAAATGCGGGAAAAAGTGGACATGACAGAACAAGGAGAGGAGGAGGTGAGACAGGGTGGAGCGTATTTCACAGACTGCTCCTCAGATTCTGGAGAACATGGATGACAGTGGACTGAGCCCGATCAGCTTCAGCTCCATCACTGCCTGAAACTGGAGCTGTCAGAGCCAAGGCTATAGCAGTGCAAGAGAGCTGTAGCAACATAATGTCAGCAGCTTTATGGCCAACATTTTTCAGTTTTAAAACTATGCAATTTCAATGATCCTTTTAGAATCTACCCCAGAAAATATTCAGCAAAACTCAGGAGTGAGAAACCAAATCCATCCCCACTTATAAAGGTATGTGTGTCTGCGTGTACTGTGTGTATCTTTGTATGATCATTTCCAGTGTGTACAGTGACTACTACGTGTCACTAGGTTGCAGTAATGTCCTGATGAGTAAAATGGAGGTGCCAGAAGACAGGAAATTCAGGAAAAGTGGAAAAAAGATGAATTAGAGTATTTTTTATGTTGCAGGTTTACAATTATACTACATGAGATAATTTTAATAAACTTACCAAATATTCCTTGAAAAACACATCTGGGTCTTCACTGACATAGACAACAAGGCTTCTCAGGATGAACTCCCTCCTTATGTTGATGTCATCGCACTAAAACATGGGTGAGAAATAAAGACATCTGGTTATGATGGTGGTGCAGGGATTAGAGCAGTCTGAAGATCAGTAGGTTTTTGGGCTATCTGTTGTATATGTGAAAAAAATAATTATATAATCAAACTGTAAAAGAAAGCAATAAAATTAATTAATAACAGACATTTACAGACCTCGTCTTCCTGACAGCATTAGAGGATGTTTGTGCCACAGCTTCTCTTTTTGTATTGGTAAAAAAAAAAGCTTGCTTGTATATTCATGACTGACTGACTGTTATTGGTCTTATACAGTCTTTGGTGTTGTAACCATAGACTGTATATATCACATAAATGACCCACACTGCATTCAAAACGGCAATTTGCGACAAGTTTGCAGCGAGTAATTGGTCTTTACAAGCCACAAACAGGTTTAACGTGTGTGAGAGAGAGACCCTGACTGAGGAGGGGAAGGGAGGGGAGAGGTGAGGGGGGGTCTGCTTAAACAGACTCATAATTCATGTTCATTTACACTTTTTAAGTAAAAGTTGTGTGGTTATAACCCGAGTCAGAGTAACCACAGACACTTAGTCAAACTTAATTCTCCCTCATGTATCTTAGCTAGCAAGCCCGCTAGCCCATGTCCGACTTCACTGACGGTAAAATTTGTCGGTCTTTTCACAGCATGCTTTTTAAAATATAACAAAATGGAGTACTCACCAAGGAGTGGAATTACAGCAGCTTTCCGTGGCTCTGTAAAGTAAAACCCCGCAGCAGCGTTGGCAGAAGTTGTCAGTGAAAAAGGAGCGGGAGGAACGGAGGCTGAGAGCGCGCTGCGGCGGTCCCAATTCAAATGAAACTCATTTGTTTTGAGTTCATGAATGTCAAGGTGAAACTATTACGTTACCACAATTCAATTTACATCGGTTTAGTGTTTAATAGATTTGTTTCAGCAAAGCAAACAACAGTTTAATGTGTCACATCAAAGAAGGGCTTGGATCAGTTTTTTGAGTGTGAACAGAATGCTTATGTTTTATTTAACTAGAATAAGTACATTTTATTTCAACATTTAGAATTTTGTTTTACTTAAATAATTGACATAAAACCAAGGACACAATTATATTGAATATATTTTTACCTAAATCATTATTTAATATATATATGACCACAGAATCATTTATTACAGTGTAAATGAATGGTTGTTGAACAGGTGACACGCCTTACATTCCACAACCAATCACTGGAGATTTGACAAGCTGAATTGCAGCGGGATTGAGCTGAGCTGAGACAACCAGTCCACGCTGCTGCAACCTTTTCCCAGAACGTTGTAAAGCTGTTTGGTTTCATCATGAATCTTTGGTCTGAACTGGGCTTAATAAACTGTTTGTATGGGGAAAACTGTCTTTTTACAGTGTGTGATTTGTCAGATGAAAAAGCAGCAGTAGTAGTGATTTGAACGTGGCAGCTGTAACTAAGCAGGCAGAAGATTCTGCTTGCTGTCTATTGTCAGTGACAAACACCTACACATTTACTGTCTTGTCTCGGCACACAAAGCACAACAGGAACTGGGCGAGCGGGAGGTCCGTCTCTCTCTGTTTTCTTCCATATTGACTCCTCTCTTTCTTTTCTGTCCTCTCAGACTGAGAAAGAGAACTGAGGGTTTCCCTCTGACAGGCTTGTCTCAGCCGGACCAAACCACACAGTGACAGAAAAACGCCCACTAACACTCCAAACCATGGCTAATGTGACAGCCCAAGCTGCTATTCATTCACTCACTAACACACACACACACACACACACACACACACACACACACACACACACACACACACACACACCCACAAGCACACTTCCATACACACACAAGCATACACAAATGGAGTCACAATCACCGTCACACACTCACAGCCAACACCCCAGAGGCACTCAAAGCCTTTTTAATACATGCTTTCACTCCAGTTGATAATGTGACAAGAAGGTGATGGGAATGCCTCCCACATCTTCGCCTTTTACTGGATTATTTTCTTTGTTGAGTGGACAATACAACTGCACTAGCTCTTTGTAGTTGTGTTTATTAATACAGTTGCAACTTACTCCCACACCTAGGCATGGGACAAAATTTGAGGTCACGATTATCTCGGCCAAAGTAATTGCAGTGCACAAAATTATCACAATAATCATGAAAATATACTTTAACCTTTTAAATGGCTCTAAAACATACTGGAATCACACAATCTCACATTTTGTTAAGAACCATAGATTTATTGCATCACAGATTGATTGCAGCTCATCTCTGTTCTTTATCATGGAATCTATACTATATACTATTCACCTTATTTGTGATGGATACAACGGGCAAACCGAGCCTTCAGCCTGACAGGATTGGGATTTTTTGGGGGGGAATCTTAAAACATTTCTTTTCCTGGAACCAAGCACATTTGGTTGCCAGTGCAGTAATTTTCTCTTGATAAGAGTTCTTAATAAAGTAAGTCAAGATGTTCATCTACTAGAAGTCTTAAAATAAGATTAAAAAAAAGACAAATTTCTGGTCCAAACATCTAAGTTGACCGTCCAAAAGACATTCACTGAGTAGCTAGAATAAAATATTTTTTCTTGTACAATGTAGTATAAGCAAAGTAATAAATAGTTGCAACCATACTTTTGTTGTCCTCCCCTACTGATCTAAAATCCAATAATCCAATCACATCCATGGATTCATTTTTTTAATCATGAAGGAAACTAGCTTGGAAGATGGAAATGCAGCTGGAAATATTACATTACTTTGATTTTAACAAACAAAACTGGATTTTAATCATCTTCTGAATTTTGTGGGGAGTAGCAGAAAAGTAATCTAATTCAGAGTGTAACTAATCACTGTTGGCAGGGAGTAATAAGTAAAGTAACAATGCTACTTTTGAGTGATAAATAAAAAGATTTGAGTTACTAGACCAACACTGATGACTTTCACATTAAGAGGCATACATACTAACCACAGAGCCTCCATGCTAACTGACATCTGGTGATGTTTAACAGTGGGTCCACCACTTTGGTCCAGATTAGGATGTCTCATCAACTAATAGGTTGCCATGAATTGTGGTACAGATGTTCAGAGGATGAAGCTAAGTAACTTTATTGATCCCCTGACTTTTCCTCTAGCGCCATCATCAGGTCAAAATTTCCGTTTGTCCAATTCTTTGGTTTATGATACCAGCAAAATGAATGACATTCCCACCAACGTTATTTGTACTTTGTGTTTAATGCTAATTAGCAAATGTTAGTATCCTAACACTCTGAGATGGTGAGTATGATAATGCTACTTGCTTAACAACGTCAATAAGCATGTAAGCATGCTGATGTTAGCATGCTGATGTTAGCATTTAGCTCCAAGTTCTGCTGGGTCCAATGTACAGATATGTTAGCATTGGTGAGGATATTGTGAAAATATCACTTTTGATGACTATTTTGACCAACAAGATAATCTAGTCCATGCTCAAAACAAGTCAGACTAGACTTGAAATGTAAATATAAGATTATTTTGCAGTAGACAGAGAGCCATTGCAAGCTTTGGCTCCATGACAAAATTTTGTCTGGGCTTTTGATATAGAAAGTATGAATGTGAGACACAAGGATGCAAATGATGTGTAATGTATTACATTTCCAACAGTTGAAATGTCATCAATCAAGGCAGACCACGTTGCTCTGTAAAAATGGGTATAGTTACACAGAATACTGTTGTTGGATCATAAAAATAAACATTAATCTTGAAGCATATTGTTTCATATTTAACCTTCATGACTTTATGAAGAAATGTTGCCACTGATGTGATTTTCTCTTAAGTCAGTATCTAGAGATCTTGAGAATGAATATCTTATTTAAGGGCATATAATTGAACTATATTACAGTATTTTAATACTGGTGTAATCTCACGGCCTATTACACAAGACTTATTCCCCAAGGTCTAACAACATTTTGGCAGGTGTATACAAGAAAGCAAGGTAATTTACAGAGCCATCCGACATTATAGTGTCAACTTTACAACTAGCAAAAAAAATGTTTTGCAAAGATGTTCTAATTTCTCTTTCTTACAGAGTTGTTGCACCACTGAGTAAAACTTTGATGTTTTCTTGTAGGGTTGTATGATATGATAAATGGACTGCTCTTATATAGTGCCATTCTAGTCAACCGACCACTCAAACCGCTTTACACTACTGTCAACACTGTCAAATTCATCCACTCACACACCGATGACACAGCATCAGGAGCAATTTGGCATTCAGTATCTTGCCCTAGAACACTTCAACATGCAGTGGGAGGAGCCAGCCTTATGATCAGTGACAATTAGACAACCCACTACCTCTGAGCCACAACCACCACAATTTATGGAACAAATTGGCAATAGGCTGAATCAGTGACTGAATATTTAGCTGATCTATAGCTGAAATGAAGCATACAAGAGCTTAATTCACTGTCGACCAGAGGTGGCAAAAGTACACACATTCTTTACTCAAGTAGAAGTTCAATTTCAATTTCAATTCAATTTTATTTGTATAGCGCCAAATCATAACAGAAGTTATCTCAGGACACTTTTCAAATAGAGCAGGTCTAGACCGAACTCTTTATAACATTAATTACAGAGACCCAACAGTACCACCATGAGCAAGCACTTGGCGACAAGGGCAAGGAAAAACTGCCTGTTAAAAGGCAGAAACCTAGGACAGATCCTCCGGCTCTAGGTACAGACTTGTGTAAAAAAGACCCCAGTAAAAGTAGAAGTACTGATTCTTTACTCAAGTAAAAGTGAAAAAGTACAGTCTATATATAAGTATAGTATAAGGGTATACGCTATTAAGTTTAAAGGCTTTGTAATCTGGTGATGTGACAGTGAGGTTATGTTTTGATAATGTAATTTCCATTTAAACTGGAATCAGTCATTTTACAGATACTCTTATGGTTGGTTCCCCCAGATTATGAATCACATTGCATTTTTCTCAGTTATCCCTAACAAAATCTAATCATACAAATAGTTATTTTAATTTACGTTACGTGGTTGGTTGATAGCACCACTCCAGTCAAATCGAGGTAAATGCCTTCCAGTTTGTGCTAGTTACAGAATTGGAAATTTAATTTTAAGAAAACATCAGCAACATCTCTTCCCTGATTCAGTGTCCATGGATAATCCAAAGAAATTTTTTCACAGTGAGTTCTGTGGATTATTGAAGCAACCACATTTTACCTCTATAAAGACAAATATCTCTAAACTTTGAAAAATAAAATCAAAATGATCTTTGGGTAGAGGGAAGGGAGAGAATCTGTGTTTTGGAATCTGGGTGAACTGACCCTTAATGACTTTTTTCAGTGTACAAAATAGCATGGCTACCTCTGAAAGCGCTACATCATGTCTGTGTGACAGTGCGCTCGCTGCCCCAGCAGACCGCTTCAGTCCTAATGCTCATTACAGCTCCATCTATGTGACTGCAGGCATATTGAAGTAAATCAGATGTTCCGGGGTTGACCTCTGCTGCCCTGACCTTCACCTACTTCTCTGACCACAAGCTTTAAATCAGCCGTTCACAATACTGGCCGAAGGTCCTCAAGAAAGGCCATGCGCACCCATTCACAATGCAAGACCATGGGCCATGAGAAAGGACAGCGCTAGCCAGGTCAACCAAGGCTCTTTGTAGAAGCTGGAGCTAATGGCACAGCAAGCACTAAAAACACAAATACTGCCATTCACTGGGTGGAGCCTGAGAATGGAAGAAAAATACACAATGGACTTAAAGAAACCTACAAAGCAACGCCTCCTTAATCAGGATGTAGACTGAACATGTTGTCAGTGACGTCTTTACTCAGTCACATGTGATCTATTGATCTGTAGTCAAATACACAAGGACCATTAGGTTTGCCGTAAGTTAGAATTTGCGCTAGCTGTTCCTCGGCTTTTGGGTGACTGAAAAACATTTCTAAGTAACAATGAATTAAAAGACCTAAAATTAGGCATTAAAGCGCAGCAG